GGAACCTAAAGATGATTATGGTCGGACACCACTATCGTTCGCAGCTCAGAGCGGGCACGAGGCGATCGTGAAGCTACTACTCGAGCAGGGTGCCAATGTGGAACCTAAAGATGATTATGGTCGGACACCACTATCGTTCGCAGCTGAGAGCGGGCACGAGGCGATCGTGAAGCTACTACTCGAGTATGGTGCCGATCGAGAATCTAAGGACAAGAATGGTCGGACACCACTATGGCATGCGATTCAGACCCAGTCCGAGGACGTGGTCAAGCTACTCATGTCTTACCAGGGAGAAGGGCCACCACTGTCCCCAGAGCAGCAGCCAACAGGATCGGAGTCGAGTACGATGACTCCACAAGCAGAACCCTCAGAGGCTCTTCCCGTTGAGCAGTCAGGGCCACGAGACACGTATGCGACAGGAGCGGAAGGTTGGGTGGAAGGATACCAATGGGCACAGACAGAATCAGAGGCAGAGGCAGAGGCATGGGGAGTCGATGATGGAGACGGAAAGATACACATCTGATGGATACGGATGTACATGTACTTTGCAGGACCCATCAGTCTCCACGCCTCCCTCTCAGAGATGATATTTGTGTCTTGTCTCCAAGCTCCGTCTTGATCTGACCTGGTTCTGACACCAACTCAACTCAACTCATTCAATGCACCTCGGCCCACACGGGAGAGCGGGCGACAAAGTCTTTCCAGGTGGTGAGAGGTTCATCGAGGATCTGGCGGCCAAGCAAGGAAGGAGGCAGAGAAATTCGCGTTAGCCAATCCCCAACAATGATGAAATGGAAGAGTGAGGGGTGAACCGGGAAGAAAGAGTAGGGAGCAGAACGGGAGAAAAGGGGCAGAAGACTCACGGCATGGCTCTTGGCGAGATCGGCACCGCCGTAGTACCCAAACTGGGGCATCAGCAGCATATTCTGGAGCATCTCGTCCTGGATGGGCTCGGGCATGCCCTTTGCGGCGAGGACCTTCTTGAACGCCTCTTCGGGCACGTGGCGCGCCGCGCCGCCCTGGCCGTCGCGCGTCTTGACGGCCTGGAACTCGGCCAGGATCTGCTCCGGCGTGTAGTACGCCGTGGCGCCGTAGATGCGGCGGCCCAGCACGCCGTCGTCGCGGTGGACGAGGATGGCTTTGACGAATTTACCCGTGTCGTGCTCGGCGTCGAACAGGGGGATGGGCGAGTCCGTGGGGATCGGGAGGGCAAAGTTGTATGGGCCTTGCATGTTGTTCAGGCTCTGGCCGGGGATGTTGGACATGTAGAAGCCCGGCATGAAGAAGGTGGCCGGGATGTCGAGCTCGCGGATGTATTCTTCCACTTGGGCCTTGGAGTCGAAGTGGGCGACCTTGGAGAGTTTGCCGCCCGAGACTGTTTATCATTAGTTAGCTGTCTGTAGTTCGGAATATACCCATGCCTCATGATATATGGAGGAGGGGTGACTCACGCTTGGTGACATTCATCAGACTGCTCCAGATCAAATGCTGCACACCACACTCCTTGGCCGCGTCGGCAATGTTCTTGCCCTGCTGGATCTCGGCCGCCTCCGTCTTCTTCTCCCAAAAGTTAGTCACGGCGTACACAGCATATGCACCCTGGAGAGCCCGGACGAGAGTCTCCTTGTTGTCAAGGTCGGCCTGCGAGTAGAATCATCTCAGTTATCCTTACTCACTCATTTCCCTCCCTGATGGGGTTCTCTTACCGAAACACACTCGCACCCCAGCCGGGTCAATTCCTGCGCGGCCGGTTTGGACGGGTCTCTGGTGATGGCGCGGATCGAAAACATCGAGGCCGTCTTGGGATCGCCCAGCACCGACTTGATGACGGAGCCGCCTTGCTTGCCCGTGGCGCCAAAGACCACCAGCACCTTTTTGGAGTGGCCGATGGTATGGCCGTTGGTGTGGGTGCTGGACATCTTGGAGCGGATGCTATCGATAATGCCCATGGATATACGACAACGGGTGAAAAGAATCTAGAAATATAGTCTCGATTTTTGAGGCAGGACAGTGAGAGACGATTGACAGATGAAATAACTCCCCGTCTTGCAGCCGACGTGCTTTTGGGCTTTTAAATATCGCCATGGTGGGTGATGACATGTGTCCAAAAGGAGACCTCTTTGCCATGCCTTGTGTCGTCTTCTGTCAAGCTGGTATCGGGTTTGGTGCGATCCCTTGCGTCGAAGATCGCGCATTGACACATGTCTGATGATGGTATTGAGCGGCTTCTTCGGCGTTCGGCAAAGAAGGTCAACCCCCGTTGTGAGTAGAGGTCATGTTAAGGTATTACAAAGTCAGTGTCGGACCAATCGGAATGAGTCTTCGGTCAACGACCATGAAGTCCCACAAATGTCTTTGGCAGTTCGATCTCGAATGACCAGAAGGAAAGTGTATTGCGACATCCTGTTAAGAATAAACAAAGAGTAGCTAAAGCGTCGACATGATGTTATACAAAGAGATTGGAAGTTTTGCCCTTCAATTGCTCTTACGGTACATACATCTTAGAGTAGAGGCATCTAACTCATTCAGCCACCATGACTTTCACTGTTCGAGAACCAATCCCCGCCTCCCGTCTGGATGGCAAGGTAGCCATCGTGACGGGCTCTGGACGAGGAATCGGTCGCGGTATCGCCATCGAGCTGGGGAAACGAGGCTCCAATGTCGTCGTCAACTACTCCCGAAGCTCCAAGCACGCCAACGATGTGGTCGGCGAGATCGCAGCCAACGGCTCCCAGGCAATCGCCATCCAAGCCGACATCTCGAGACCAGAAGAGATCGCGCAGCTGTTTGAAAAGGCCCAGGCGCACTTTGGCCACATCGACATTGTCGTGTCCAACTCCGGGCGCGAGCACTTTGGCAGCATCGACCAAATCACGCCCGAGGCCTTTGACCAAGTCTTCGCCCTCAACACGCGCGGGCAGTTCTTCGTCGCGCAGAACGCGTACAAATTCCTCCGAGAAGGTGGCCGTCTGATGATGATGTCGTCCATTTCGGCCCACGTCGGCATGAAGGAGCATGCCCTCTACGCCGGCAGTAAGGTGGCCGTCGAGGCCTTCGGCCGCTGCCTGACCAAGGAGTTTGGACACAAGAAGGTCACTGTCAACGTCATTGCCCCCGGTGGCGTCGACACCGACATGGCCGCCGAAGCGGGCTGGAAGTATATCCCGGGGGCGAATCCGTCGTGGACGCCCGAGGACATTTCGAAGTGGGTGGCGGCACGAAACCCCTTGGAGAGGACGGGCAAGCCGCAGGACATTGCGCGAGTGGTTGCGTTCCTGGCCAGCGAGGACGGGGTTTGGATCAATGGTGAGTGTTTGACCCTTGCTAAGACTATCCGCATAGTCTGCAAAGTAGAGAAGCTTACATCTCCGTCTAGGACAAACCATCACCGTCTCAGGGGGGGCCTTAGCTTAGGTTTATGGAAGAGCGATTATGCTTCGCCAGTCTGGGTTATGTACCTCGTATGAAGGACACAACACCCACATCACATCCACATACAGAATAGATCTTCTCGTGACCATGAAATCGCAGGCATTAAACAGATAGTTTTACAATCATACACTTGAACACTTCCTATTCCTCCCTTAGCCACTCATCTGCACAGAACTGCGGCTGCACTAGCCTAGACAGATTGCCTTTACCAGTGAGACCTATGAACCCACTTGCAGCACAGTAGAGGTAACAGGTAACGCCGATCTACCATCTCGATGCGCAGCGAGTGTTGCCTCCCGATAAGAAGCTACTCAGATCACCGAGATCTCGAACAATCAACATGCACATCGCATACATCGCCGTGAAGGCCCTGATCCACCTTTTGTGACGACTTTCCTGCAGGAGAAGACCACCGATCGCCTGCCGAGGATTTCAATGCTTGTTACACACCTGTCTGTATCTACATACGGACACGCCAAACGGTGACCGAAGCGAGGCTGGCCGTGAGGCAGTGGAGAACCACCCGACCCGCCACGTTGATCGCTATGACATTGAGTATTACAGTGCCGACTTGATAAAACACGGGTTTCGCCTCTCGTTGGGCCTCAACAGTGCCGCATTTTACATGGTTGAAAGAATCCCCATTTGGCTTGTTCTTGTGCTTCTGATTCGAACCTTCAACATATCGACTGCCATCCGCGACAATGGGCTCGATCGGATCCATGAGCCCCATTGGCAAAGAGAGAATCACTTTTGATGGTGAGTTTTCGACCTTCTTGAAGGGATTCTGGGGCCCATGACTGGGTCTTGTCGTGGCTGCAAATGGCTGATTTGGGCGAGATAGAGTGGCTTGATTGTAGTGGCGTGCTGTACGAGTGGGCAGACTGCTATGATAACAAGGTACTGAAGTACTCCCTCATTCCGGTTCCCGGAATTTCCCGTGTTGGTGTTCAGGAAATCAAGACTGACGAGCAAGCAGAACTGGTACGGGTTGATGGACATTATCGCCCCGACACTCACGGTATGACCATCATCCCTGTCACTCTCCCTCTCTCTCTCTCTCTTCGTCCACTCTTGGAAAGGCATACAAAACACACACACACACACTAACCCCCACCCCCCCCCTTGAACCGGGGATTGTTTGGTGTTCAGATCGACTACGACAAAGTCAACAACGCGAAATTCACCGACCTCCCCGCCGAAAAGTACATCGCGATGATGAGCGACCCGCTGTTCCTGGGCGACGAGCTCGTCGCGTCGCAGCACCTGATCGGCGCGACCAAGTGGGAAAAGGTGTCGGACGTGGAGATGGTGTCGCACCACCAGTCGCGCGCGGCGCACCAGCGGTTCGAGGACGTGCGGCGCAGGGACGTCGCCGTCAAGGGCCACGGCCACGGCACCGTCACCACCTTCTACAAGAAGATCGACGGGCAGTGGAAGTGGGCGGGCATCAAGACAAAGGTCATTTGGAACGAGTTTGATTTCGAACACGTCTTTCGCGGTGCGGCGGGGAAGGAGTAGTTCTCGTACCATATCATATCATACCAGTAAAAATGGGAAATGCGGGGTGCAAGTGGTTCGCATACGGGCCATATTATCACTTGTGTCGTGTTCACCTCGTACAAGTCCAAAGGGTGCGCTGATGGTGGTGGTGATATGATGATGGGACGACCATGGCATTGCTAGGCAAAGTGGGAGTTGGGCCGGGGAGGGGGGGGGGGTATAAAAGGGGAACTGCTTGGCGCCCCACCCTCCCATCCACCCCCCCTGGTTGAGCTCAGCCTCGTCCAGTCCACCATCACTACATACTGATTGTCAGGCTCAATCCCAAGACTTCTCTTCCAATACTTGGTTGCTCTAGTCTCTATTGTGGACATGTCTGGAGTAGAGATTAGGTATCGCTGCTTAGAACACATCCATTTTCTTTTCTCCTCAGTGTCGATTTGGAGCCAAAGCCACCCGTTGGCGAAGCAGCGTGTCTCGATACAAGTCAGACCAACTGACGATTCTTGACGGGGGAAGGATTCACATCGAAGGCGTCTTGGATTGATAACGGTGACACAAGGTATCCAGGCACCCAGGACTTACCGGTCAGTATGCAGACTGCCGCGCATGTTCACCGGTCGCCAGATATCTGTCACTCCCTCCCCCCTCAGGTGCCAAGCTGCGTATCACCATGACCGATGGGCACGCTGGCATTCCATCTCCCACAGGGGAAATTCTTCCAAAAGTCACTAGGCACGGGCAAATGACGTTGGCGAGCAACGTGGGACGAACGACCCAGCTGGACCTCCATACCGAGTGCCTTGTACGCCCTCGGTGACCGACGTCTCCACACCACCACCCAACACCACACAGGGAAAGGCAACCTAGCTCGAATGCCTATCCATGTACTACGAATGACAATGGACTGTTCCGTTCCTGAGCTGGACGATTCGGATGAACTGGTCCAGCTCCAACCTTCCAAGCTTCTTTAAAAGGTGAGAGAAGGCGCGTAAACACAGACTGTCATCTGGCGCGACCTGTTTCATTCTTGTTGTTTCGGCCGTCTTGCTCAAGTTTGTCTTTCTCCGACGCCTGTTCTCTTTGCAGTTCTCGTGGTGTCGAGACCCTTGTTTGTCACTCGCGCAGAAATGTTCTGGAAATCCCTCTCCACATGCGTGCTGCTCGCAAACACCGCCCTAGCAGCTCCAGGCTATAATTTCAGGGCACTGCAGCAGTGTGTCAGCGGTGCTCTGGCCGCAGGGGGAAATGTCGCGGAGCGTGTGCAATCGCCCGCAAACGCGACCTGGGACGATGCCTATGTCGGCGCCATCATGTGTGTATCTTAAAAGGCTCCTCGTGTAGGAAACCACTGACTTACAATGCTCTGAAGCAAGCCAGAGACTCCCGCTATGATTGCCTTCGCCGAGAGTTTCACAGAGGTGGGCGCCTTGATGGGTTGCGCCAACAGCACTGGGTACCAGGCCGTTCCTCGGTCAGGACGACACCAGTAAGCACCGTCAAACGCTTACTGCCCACTCTTTCTGACAGGTCGATGCAGTTTCGAAGGCTGGTCGGCACTCAATGGCTCTCTGGTCATCGATGTCTCGTCTCTCAGCTATGTCAATGTCTCCAGTGACCTCAGCAATGCGACCATCGGGGCCGGCACAAACCTTGGACAGATATACACAGAGTTGAGCGTGGTGAACAAGACGTTTCTCGGGGGCATCTGCCCAACTGTGGCCCTCGGGGGATATCTCGGTGTGGGAGGATACAGCCTTCAGCATCGAGCCCTGGGGATTGCGGTCGACCAGGTGCTCTCCTTCAAGGCCATCTTGGCCAGCGGCGAGCTTGTCACCGTCTCTCCCACCTCCCATCCAGATCTGTGGTTCGCTGCCCGCGGTGGTGGCCAGTATGCCTTCATCGTCGAGGCCACCGTCAAGATTCTCACCCTGCCGCGATCCGCCATGGTCGTGGGCTTTTATAACAACTCCGATACCCGTTATGAGGTGGCTAGGAAATGGCTTGACTGGGCTCCGACTGCGCCAAAGGAACTTACCACCCAGCTGAACGTCTATAACAACCGCACCCACCTGATCGGCTGGTACCTGGGCGGTTCTACCCAAAAACTCCGAACGGCTCTGAACACGTCGGGTCTTTTGGATGTCGCCGACGGTGTCGTGTCCATCGACGGGAATTGCAGCACGGCAAACTCGCGAATGTACTGGCAGGACACTTCGACCAGGTGCACCGACGATACATCAGCATACCAAGCATTCCTCAAGGTCTACAACACCGAGTCGATCAACCTCGCCCCGATCCAGCCGGCTTTACGCCTAGACAATACGCCAGCCATACCATCGGAGCCCGTTGCTGTGCCTTGGCCCCGCTTTGGTGTTATCAGCAAGACATACTTCACCCAGAAGAGCAGGCCTATCACAAACGACACTCTGAGGGAGCTCATCGACCGATCCGCGGTGCTGAGTGACGAGGCTGGTTTCTGGGGTGAATGGACCAGCTTCGGCGTCGCGGACCCGACCACATCTTCATCTTTCCCCTGGTTGAAAGAGGCACAGGCTCTACTGCGGATCGAGATGAACTCGCCACAGAATGTCTCCGCGTACAACCAGAACCGGGCATGGCTGCTGGACTTTGAAAAGTTCCTGCGCCCCAAAGTAGGGTATGTATCTTTGTTTTCCAGCCGGCAAACTGCGGTGTATCGTTTCAAAGGGACTCGACTGACTTTCTTGACTCTCGTGCAGAAACGCTAGCTATTCTGGATATGTGGATGTTGACATCAGCATCAACCCGCTGACGGCATTCTACGGCAACAACACCTGCCGATTGATCAGCATCAAGAAGAGATATGATCCCAGCAACTTCTTCCGAAACCCATTCTCGATCCCAACAAAGGTACCCAAGGGCATATCGTGCTGAGCTGGGAAGCCGCCACAGTCAAGGTTTGCTGGATGTGATAGTGACTTGGCACTGTAAGATAGCCAGTTTGAAATCTTTGAGGAGCAGGCGAAAACGGTCGAGGGTAGACAAGTCAAAATGCAAACTCTGGTTAGATGACAGAAATACGCACTCAGAATGGCCTTCATGAATCGCCTTGACTTGTGAGACTTCTGCCCTGATCACAAAGCGGAAGCGAGTAGACTCCTGAATTTTAGACCTAAGGAGCTGCTGTTCGTCTACTGTGGAGGCCATTCGTAAACGGTATCACCGGCTGGGTAGCATGGCCGAAAAAAAAGGTATCGGGCAATCACCGTGCGGTATGCGAAAAAAAAAAAGGCCGTCAGATCGAGGTGAAGCAGTTCCATGTAGCAGGCCAGCTCCTCACGGCGAGGCTCTCTGATGTCGGCAAAACGTCAATCTCAACAGCGGACCAGTGGCGGCTCGAACCAATGGCAATACCAAATGTACCACAAGGCTTCGGTCACCGTCTAGTGTTTCGGTCAAAAGCTGCCCATGAGACGATGAAGCCAAGAGGTCGTCCATTCTGACAGATTGTAGATATCATAAATATGCCAATGACATCAGCTTCATTCGGACATGAAACTTTGGGATATATCACCGTCAAAGTCTTAACTTGAAGTTATCTTTCAGCAAGTATTTTTCGAGACATGCACGAGGCCATTGTCTTGATTTGTTGATCTTCACCATGTCCAACTTCTGGCCCAAGAAACCCTTCTCCATCGCCATTGTTGGCGGAGGTCTCGCCGGCCTCAGCTTGGCTCGGGGCCTCCTCCGCCGTGGCATCAGCTGTCAAGTTTTTGAGGCAGCACCCGCGTTCGCTGATATCGGAGCGGGTCTCAGCTTTGCTCTCAATTCCCTGGAGGCACTAAAAGCCGTCGACCCTGACTCTTACGAATGTTTCCTTAAGCGGTGCAGCGAAATGTCAGAGAAGAAGGACGTGTACATGACGTACCGAGATGGGAACGCAGAAGACAACCACGCGCTCACGACACTGTACTGCAAAGGTTCTGGGCAGCAGGCCGTGCACCGTACCCTGCTGGTCAAGGTCTGGACCAACTTCACACAAACAAGACTGACAAATATTCTGACAATTTTTAGGACATGGTGTCCCTGATGCCCAATGGTACGTGGCACATGGACAAGAGGCTGACCACCATTGAGGAGAGTCTTTCCGGCGGTGTCACCTTGAGCTTCGAGGACGGCACACTGTTTGACGCCGATGCCGTGGTCGGTGCGGACGGAATCAAATCCAAGACTCGTCAAATCCTCTTGGGCCCAGACAATCCCGATGCTAAGCCGAAGTATTCAGGAGAGTTCGGTTACCGCAGCCTCGTGCCCATGGAAAAGGCTGTAGAAGTTCTGGGGGAGGACTTTGCAAAGAACGGCAATGTCAATATCTCCGATGGTGCCCTCACAACTACATACCCCGTCGAAAAGGGGACCATGCTCAATGTTGTAGCAGCACGGAACCAGCCAACCTGGGACGACCCCAATTGGGTCATTCCAGCAAACAAGGAGACGGTCGAGGAAGAGTTCAAGGGAACGGGACCACAGATGCAGAAAGTGGTGTCGCTATTGGAGAATCCGCAGAAATGGTCCCTTTGGCATCACCCAGAGGCCGCGACCTTCTATCGTGGTCGATTTTGTATTATTGGCGATGCTGCACATGCGGCCACTCCTCACCAAGGCGCAGGTGCCGGGCAAGCATTCGAAGATGCTTTAGTTCTCGCTCGGCTGTTGGCGGATGACAACATCAAAACAGCTGATGACATTGAGACCGCATTTGCCGCATTCGACGCCATCCGCCGCCCACGGACTTTAAAGATCGTCGATACCAGCAGGGAAAACGGCATGATCTGCATGAAGAAGGGTGAGAAAACCGGCACCGACCTCGAGAAGATCAAGAACAATTTAGACCACAGATTTGATTGGATCTGGTACAACGACCTCGAGAGGCAGGTCAACGAAGCCAAAGCAAAAGTGAAGGAACTGAAAGGGGCGCAATTCGAGGTAGACAAAAGATCTCCCTCACAGCGCGAGGCTCTTGACGAGTCGTCTCT